TTTCTGAGGTCTCCTCACTGAAACCCACGTTCCTGGGGTCTGGATCAGCTAACATCACTATTCTTAATGTAGCCAAAAGTCTTTTTGTGGCTTGATATTAATCAGTTTTCCCAGACTAATAGTCCATTCATTGTCATGTTTTAGTTGACTAGAATTTTTGTACTTTCGCTGTTTCCCCTTTTTTTCACTTTAAAGCAGGGGGCAGCGAGTCAATGACAGTAAGCCTCGCCCAGGTCCTTCCAAGGCACCAGTGCAAATGCCTCCCTCAAACAAGTAAACAGGACATGTTAACACAATCACTCACATGGACACTTTGGGGAAGATAGAGGCGAAATTATCCTGTTACAGAAAAAGTCAGGATCACAGTGTCCTGAGGTCAGGAACGCAAAGAATTTTTTAAAATGACTTTGAGACATTTGATCCAGTTCTGGTTCAGATGATGCTGGGAGGTGCTACCTCAGCTAATGAAACTTCTACAGGACCAAGACTGCTGTCAGTGTAATTCAAAGGCTTTTAGCCTAACGGCGGCCAGTTCCCCTTTATCAAAGGCGTCAGTGCCTCAGATGAGAACATTATTTGCTCTTTATGTACTGGAAAGACAGATTCCATGGGGCCATGTCTGGTAGTATACACTTCCCTAGTAGATACAATTTGTAAGAATGACGCTGTGATGTTTTCTTTCATGCATATACCATACTCCGGAGGATACTCTCAGGGGTGATTTTGTGTTTACTACCAAATCAAAGTGTCTAGCCTGGTACCACACATGCAACAGGTGTTCAAATCACTCTCCAGTGATCCGTTCCATTCGCATTGGTTTCCATGACTGGCATTGCCTGTGCAGACACTGAGACAGTTAACTGCAGGAAGGTGGATGCACAGGCACTGAGATGGAGAAAGCAAAAAGGCTCCCGCCACCTCTGACCACCTCTTTCTTTTCTGCAGTGCCTGAAAGGAGCTGGTCTGGCCCTTGTCCTGAACAACCACCCTGTCATCATGCTGCCTGCCTGCCTACGTTTCTTCAGCCTCATCAGGTGTCCACCTTTGCCATATCTTCTGTGTCCCTGAATCCACTTCTCTGGAGGGGTTACGACTGAGGAATGAGCAAACTAGTTTTGCTGCATGAGCGGTGGTGGGAGAGCCCTCTTTCTTTCCACTTGTGAGCGGTGGTGGGAGAGCCCTCTTTCTTTCCACTTGCTCCACTCTCTAGTCTCCTACATCACCTTACAGACAGAACATCTTGTATTGAAGGCTGGGGTATCACTTGAGTTTGATATTAATTATCCATTCTTCGTAACACAGATCAAGCATTTGAAAGAGACAAATAATCCAAATTTTATAGCTACTGCTTCAAGTTAAACATTACTAGAATTAAATGCTGTTTGAATACACTTGAATGGGTAACAGTTTAAAATTGTGCTTGTTTCTCACTATAGCCATGTCCCACCATGGACGGCCAGAACCCTTGGGCTTCCATGAGAGGGGTGTGTGTGTGTGTGTGTGTGTGTGTGTGTGTGTGTGTGGTTGTGTGTGTGTGTACTTTGTCCATTCCCCCTCATTTTGAGAACTGAGTGATGGAATTCAGTCTGCATTGGTAGAAGCTACAGCAGCTGATGAAGAGGCTAGTGGACTGGGAGTCCTAAGTATCAGTACCCTGCCATTAACTCAAGATTCCAAAAGCATCCTCTGGCATGAAAACACTCCAAAGAATGTGTCTGACAACTTTCTTCTAAGACAGGAACATCTGTTATCATTAGCCCATCCAACAGGAGCTGGGACACCTTTTAATAAATTTGTTTATTAATAAACTTTGCTTTAATAATCTGTTAGCACCCAGCATGTCCAAAAGGACTGTTAAAAAGCCACTGCTATCCATCAGCCTCGGCAATCCATGAACCCAGAAATGCCTCAGAGACAAAGCCCCAAGATATGCAGTCGTTTTCAGCATCTTTTCTGTGTGTCCACATGAAAAAGCTCTCCATTGAGCCCCAACAGTCAACTCTCTATCATCTCCTGCATAAACGTTCTATTCAAACTGGACAGCCAAGCTTGGCAAGCTGTCTTAGGCACAAAGGAATGTTCTGATTTAGGCTCTAAGACAACCCAAGATTCCTGGTCAAGACTCCTCAGATGCAGCATGCCTGCTCTTCCCAAATGAAGCCACCTTTTCAGTATTTGTCAGCACACAGCCCTGAATTTTCAAGCAGAATGAAATCTTTAAACTCCCTGGAAAGAACGGCCAAGAAAGACAGTGCACTGCTGATCTTTCTGAATGCTTTTTATTGACAGTTACTGGACAAGTATAAGGCATGTTCACAGGCTCTGAGAAGCACAGAAGTTCATTCTCTCAGCAGCTACACTTCTTCGTACCGCACAATGAAGTCTGCCCCTGTGGACTTTAATGTGTACTGCTGTCTCTCAACTGTTAGAACATGCAAATCGTGTTTCAGGGACCACCATGGATAAGGTTTCAGAACAGGGAATGAACTGCTGTAGACTAAGTCACTAGACACCACAACTCACACAGAAACAGGTAGAAAGAAGGTGACCAAACCGCTACTACAACAGAGAACACGCTGGAAAACATTTTTGTCTTGTTTTGTTTCTTCTTGTTGGAGAGAAAAGGAATGCATCCAGGTTCATTTGCCACTGTCTACAGGTCACTAAAAATACTAGTTTCTGAGTAGGTTCTAACGCAGTTAAGTTTATTTTCAGGCCACAACACGAGGCTGCATGCATCACTTTACACGAAGGTCAAACACAGAACAACTGAACAACACCAACAACACAGGGCTGTCGCTACATTTCTTTTTGGTGGCAGGATAAGGAAGAAGGATGGTGACTAGTTCTGCACAGTGCTCTTGTGCTCAGCACTAGCTAGCTGGACACTTCTAAGCAAGCACTGGCTGCTTAGCTAATGAGAGCAGCACAGAAATGTTAGTGTAGGCCTCAAGTGTGGAACTGCTGCAACCGGTAGCCGGTTTCCAGGGTAAAAAAGTCTTAGGTCAAACTTATTTTAAAAGTATTTTATAACTGATTTCCAAAATGTGGATCAATTGGATCCTAAGCACTTTAAAAATCAATAAAGAAGACCCCACAGTTCCAGCTAAGAACCGAAGCAGCCCCAACCATGCAGGAATGTGGTCACACAGCGTCGCAGAGGCCCAGACACGGTTGCCACTTGCTTGGAACTTGGTATGGACTGCATTCAAGACTCGATGTGTTAGCTTTGTGATACAGTGGACAAGTTCTCACGTTTCTGGTTTTATACTGGTAACAGGACACCGCTGCTATTTCAATGATCACGCAAGTGAATGGTGCATTAGTGAAGAGTGTCTACCTATAGCAACAGGAAGGCGGTTCCGTCTTTTCTGGGCTCGGCTGGCAAGGACGGTGCAACAGGCTACTCTTCTGACAGCAGGTCCCCACTGCCGCAGGTGGGACAAGTGTTCTGGCCTTTAAGCCACTGCTTAAAGCACTGAAAAAGGAGGAAACAATCAGCAAGGGCCCCCGGGACTGATGGGCCCCTGGCTCTCTCACACTGCTGCACACTCTTGCAGAGCATGGCTACCACTACTTCTGAGTCTGGTGCTGCCCAATATGAAAGAAAGGTCAGTGTCTGCTCAGGGCAGGGATACAGATGAAACCCAGAATCACACTCATGATCTCATGAAGGGCCTTGTCCTCCCCGACACCCTGGTCTCCAAGCTCTTCAAGCCTCCTTCACTGATCTGTACAAGTTGTCAGTTTTGTGGCTACAAAACCACTCAATGCTGGTTCTTGAGTGCCTCATCAGCCCATGTCCCTCATTTCTGTTGCTATTCCTGGATGGGCAGGTATGGAAAGCTGGGAGAAAGCACTGAGGGAGGCTCTGTGAGCCTTTCAGTCCCTTCTAATGAGTATTTTACATTGAACGCTTTCTTACGGTTAATACACTCAGTCAGTAGAGAGCTGATCTGTCCTAAACCAGCAGTGCCCAGAACATCAAGACTATTGGTCCTCAATCCTGTAAGGGCATGGACCATGTGTTCCCAATCCAGACAGAAATCGTCTCTAACAGGTTGACTTAGCTTTCTATGCCATGCTGCTTATTTATTTAGTCACGAAAGAAACAACCTTTCAAGGAATTAATGTTGCTTTGAGTCCCAGAGCCAATGCAGCTATGCAGTCTACAGAGCTACTCTGGTCCCAGATTCCCACCACTTCCCCAAACACCTGCTTTCCATAGACCTATGAACACTGTGCAGATTTACAAAGAAAAGATGGTTTCAAAAACTCAAGTACTGACACCTAAAAAAAAAAATTCCATTTTTTTTTCCAAAATGCTTGATGAGCAGTCAAGAGATGATTCTTACCCCCTTGTGAAACCTGTGCCCACATTTTAGCACGCGCATGTTTTTTGACTTGAATAGCTCGTGGCATAATTCGCAGGAATTTGCATCTGGTGTCTGCGGAAACAAACACATTTAAATAATTAACTCTTAATGACAGTGCATGAGTGGCCTAAAGATGTTTCTGCCACAAAGGTGGCAGATTATATTCCAATTATGGTTGAACACATTGAAAAATAGCTTGTTTTAAAACAGGTTCCAGCCAAGTGTGGTGGCGCACACGCCTTTAATCCCAGCACTTGGGAGGCAGAGGCAGGCGGATCTCTGTGAGTTCAAGACCAACCTGGTCCACAGAGCAAGTTCCAGGACAGGTGCAAAGCTACAGAGAAACCCGGTATCAAAAAACCAAAACAACAAAAAATGTAGCAGTATAGATAGATAGCTTAATACTCCAAATCAGTCAGGGACTTGAACAGACTACTCTCTGGCCAACTACAATGTTTGAAATAGAAAAAAGCCACACAGAAAGTGGGTCAAACAGATCGCTGGATGAATATAGTAGATGGAAGTACTTCTTATGTAATTAATTTTAAAAATTAGACACGCACCTATAGAAAGACCTAGAAGAGATAAAACGTAACAAGATTACCCTGGGCTAAGATAGACTTAATTTTTCCTTTGCTACTTTCTCAGGTTTATCTAAGCATGGATTATTAGCACAAATCCAAACGGAACTTACTGCGGAACTTACTGGTGACTCACCAGTAAATGCCAATAGAGATGCTGCAGCCCTGGGTGTGGAGAGGACACAGGAGATGAGACCTCCTATATTCAGTCCGGTGAGCACAGTGTTTTCTACAGGACAGCAGAACCAAGTCCACCTACACCACTAGGTACCTGTGGCTCACAGCACCGACCCTACAGTGGACACTGATTTCTGCTTTACTTTTGAATTCCAAGCATCTCAGAAGCAAGAAATGAGTCTTGTTTATGTGGGTTCTGGCTACCTTGTGAATTAAAAATTCTGTGTCCTTCCATCCTCACTAAAGAGGAAAATGAGCAATGCAGCCGTCCAGGTGATACTCACAGGGCTCACAGGGACCTCATCTCTTTTCTGTCCTTTGATTTTGGATGATGGTCCAACAACAGCCAAGGGTGCGCTCTGGGAGGACTTGGCCACAACGTCAGCAGACTGCGCCTCGGATGTGATCTTGTCTTTTTCTGGATTTGGCTATAGAGGTGATGATGTGGGAAGAGGGAACAAAGGGCAGATACTAAGTTTGGCCACGTTCTCATCAGTCTCTCTCTCACGGAGCTCACATTTTACAAATAAGGACGAAGACAGACATCTTACCCTTTTCTTCTTCTGTTCCTCTAGAATGTGCTCCGTTACTCTCTCAACAATCTCCTCAATACTTAATCCAGAAAGTGAGTTCTTGGTTTTGTTTCGAACTTTTTTAACAAAAGCAGCAAGCTCAGTGCTGAAAGAAAAAAGCAAAGGATAAATGACTATGTCTACTCCCCACCCAAAGCCTGTCGGCCAGTTAACCTCAGAGGTTGTACAGAAAGAACCGTTTAAGGCCAAATGATTCGTCTCAAGTAACTAAGTGGTTCAGCAGTTAAAGTGTGCGCAGTGCTCTTCCCCGAGGGCAGGGCTCCTTCTGGCCCTCATATCGTAAGTGCAAGAGGGCAGCACTGGTGTGTTTCCCAATCAGTCTCCAGCTTGTTTCTCAGGAAGGATAGACTGGTCTCTGCTGTGCCTGGATTATGGGCCTGGCTGCCTTTCCTGCCTGAGGGTGATGGGGATCAGAACTTGGGTTCTCAAGCTTGCACAAGTACTTTACCAAAATGAGTTATCTCCCCAGCTGCCCCAGAATGACTTTATTCCTAATTTCAACTTCACAGCCTGCCATCAATACCAGAAAGAGAAAGGACACAGGTACAAAGTCTCACTGTACAAATTCTCTTTCAGCTGTCCCAAGAGCTTGACCTCTACTTCTGCACTGACTGGAAGCAGAGACACACTGAAGTACGTATGAACCACCAGCCTCAGCTTGGTGAGCAGCTCTTCCTGAGACTCACACAGATCCTTTCTCAGTATGTACACATATCAGTACTGAATTCAATCTCACCTCACTCCGTTTACAAATCAGACCTTTTGTTTACAAAATGTTAACATGTTAGTGTGTGCTTTCCTATGTCTTTTACTGTATGGACTCGTAACTTGTTTTACAGTTAGACCAGGCTGACCTCAAACTCTAAGATTCACTTACCTCCGCCTCCCAGGTGCTAGACTGAAGATGTGTACCACCACTTCTGGCTAAAGCACAGCACTTTCAATCTGGATATGAACATTACAATATTTACTTGTGCTTGGGCATGTAGCTGAGACCCTAGAGCCTTTGCCTCACAAGCACAGAACTCTGGGTTAGTCCCCAGCACCACGCTACGATGGTCACAGGAACTGAAATGCATGTCTTTCTCAGAACAATTAACATAGTCATTTTCACATTAACCCCTAATGGGCCATGATTCTATCTTATCAAGACAGTTCAATGGCCAGGCATGGCAATGCACACCTTTTATCCAAGCACCCAGGAGAAGCAGGTGGATTTCTGTGAGTCTGAGACCACAGTGGCCCACATGATGAGTTCTAGGACAGCCGGAGTTACAGTGTTAGGAATCTGTCTCAAAACAATAGCAACAACTCCAGAGATGAAGTATTTAATAGTCACAAACATCTCCTATTCATACCTGGTATAACATGGGAATACCATTGACAAGTGTTCAATAACACTGTTGAAAGGCTTTTTTGGAGACTGGCTTGACCGAGTGGCCTGTGCAGATGGTTTCTCGTCAGCCTCAGGGCTCTGTTCTGATGGAGACACCTGGCTAGCTCTCTTGAGCTCTAACCCTTGACCAACTTCAGGCTGATGGGTGGGTGAGCCTAGTGACAGTTCAGGAACCTCCTCTGGGAAGCCGCTAGTAGGTTCCATAAGAGAATCCATGTAGACGGCTCCAGTCATGTTATCTATAGAAGCCAGCAGCCCTTGATCCTCATAGCCTGAGGACTCAGAGGAAAACTGAGGATGAATCTGTTGAGAAAAATTAACTGGTAAGCATGCATGCCCACAATGCAGTGCTCAGCAAACTTGAATACAGCAAATTAACTTTTATTTATAAAGCATCAGTAATTGTAAATTTTCATTCCAATATGCATGGGTCCGTGACATACAAAGAACTGTGGTTTTTCTCTCATGTAGAAAAACTGCCTAAATGACAGCACTCCCTCAATTCTACACAGTCACACCCTGCCCTGGTAGCTGAGCTACTGGTAACTGATCAGAACTGCCAGCCCTAACATTCCCCAAAGCTGTCTCCACCAACCAAGGGAACAGGGAGACCTCAAGGTGTGGCCACACCTCTCTGTAGCTCTTAACCTTCTGTCCACACCTTATGTTGCTGGAGGCCCGAATCTTAGCCCTAGGCTCCTCTCTCTCTCCCCAGGCCACTACACACTTTCTAGACTAGAATATAGTCCCGAGACTCTTACTTACACATCCTATGGGTCATCTGGGGAAACCAGACTAAATATGCTCAAAACCAGGTTCACTTCACAACCACACTGCTCCCGTCTGGTGAGCAGCACAGGTCTTCCCCATACGGCCCCCACCTGCAGTCTCCCTTCCCCAAACACTGCTGAGGGTAGTGAGCCAAGTGGAACTCACTCCAGCCTTGCAAGGCGACGCCATCGACTCCTCCCTCCACTCATCTTTTCCCTGAGGTGAAACCTAAACCACAGCCCTAACTGTGGTGGGAGTCTCAGGGCAAGGTGCCCTTGGTTCTGCCTGGCCCCAGATGGCTCTGGCCTCTCCTCATGTCCACAGCCCTAACTGTGGTGGGAGTCTCAGGGCAAGGTGCCCTTGGTTCTGCCTGGCCCCAGATGGCTCTGGCCTCTCCTCATGTCCACAGCCCTAACTGTGGTGGGAGTCTCAGGGCAAGGTGCCCTTGGTTCTGCCTGGCCCCAGATGGCTCTGGCCTCTCCTCATGTCCACAGCCCTAACTGTGGTGGGAGTCTCAGGGCAAGGTGCCCTTGGTTCTGCCTGGCCCCAGATGGCTCTGGCCTCTCCTCATGTCCACAGCCCTAACTGTGGTGGGAGTCTCAGGGCAAGGTGCCCTTGGTTCTGCCTGGCCC